TGAATAAGCAATCACCACACAATGCACATTAATTAAGTTAACAGTTCACCAAAATGTACTTAGGCCAAAGAACATTAACCATTAGCACTTATTGCATCATATTCACTGGTGATTGAGTGCTAAGGTGGTTTCGGGTGTTACACTAGTTAGGGAGTAATGGGCAGGATTATTTGGACAGATACAGGGACTGTAATAAATGGGTTTTAAGCTTGAAATTCCTGGGGAAAAAAGTGAAATTGAAAGCTGTTAAATTTATCCATGTTGAGTTGAACACAACATCTGTGTATTTTGTCTTTTATTGTGGGCACTTTAAAAGTCCATGTACAATGTACTGTATGTACAAATGTACATGCCAAATGGGAAAGGCAACTGAAAATAATTGGGACACCAATTATGTCAGTATGTTTCCATAATTTACATACATGTACACGTGTACATAATCTACACGTTCATATTTAGGCTCATACCGTCAAAGAGAATTTTTGACCTACACGTTCTGTACGCGTACGTAATTATGCTATGTTACAAATGTACCGGTACATACTGCACATGATACATGTACCGGTACCCGTACATGATCATCTGTGCCATACTGCCATAATTACTAATTCATTCATACACACTGCGCCTGTCTCCCTTACATGTAATTCATGCAAAATGCATGGCCTATTTGCTGACAGAGAACGAAGCAATTGCTCACTGTCAAAATTTCCCCCTTGTCAATGTAAGCATCAAATCAAGTGACTGAATAAATACAATATGTACATGTTTGTGCACACATTTTTTTTAGTGTTTTGCTGGGTACTGATTGTGAACTGAATGTCTCTTATCATCATTAATATGACAACGAAGTTCCTTTTCAATAGGGAATACCAAAACCAATTAATTTCGTGAAAAAATCTTAAGTAATTGAAATTGATATTCACAAGACAGACATGTTTTAAACATGTAACTGATTAATTAATGAAAATTATATCTTGCACTAAAGACAAAATTGTACTGATTAATTGCTGATTCCTAAATTTCTGTCAGATATGACTACCGGTACAAGTATGTTTTGATCACCAGAACATCTTCTGTTAAAGTAGTCAAGAACGCTAGCATTAAATAATGCCATGGTGCAGGAATTGTGTACGGTCTGAAAGTTGGATTGCAAAATGTCCTAAAACTTAAAAGGGTCCATTGTGCATCTGAGGTTTACGAGGAGAAAGACATTTCAAATTTCCACCTGGCTGATGAGAATTGAATCAGGCGAGGTTGGAAAGTGTCAATTTGGGCTCTGTTGTAACCACGTTTTACAAATATGCAGACCCCTTTTCAAAAGTTTAGACTGCCGTTAATTGTGTATTTTTGGGGGGTTTCTCTTCTTTTCTGGGGGGGGGGATTGGTTTACCCCCCCCCCCCCCACCTTGCTTCATCACTGCTACATGTACATGTACCGGTATGGGAATATAAACCTTACTGCCTTGCCATCCATGTTTGCGGCAGTGCAGGGATCACATACAAGAATCTCTAATATGTTCCGCTGTGAGACGGACGAACAGGTGCAAAATTTTACTGGTCACTGTGGTTGGTGCAGCCAGAAATTTCATGCATTGATTTGAAAACACCACAGGCAATCAATATTTTTCACTCTCTGCAAATAATCAATCATTTTTTAAACTTGCTGCATACTGCATATTAGTGATTTGTAGACTTAACATTGCTAAATGTCACTATTTGAAAAATGTCATATTAATACAACTACTCTTCAAATACATTGTATACACATTGTATAATGCAGATGAACAATGATCTATACCGTTACATACACATGTGTACACACAATCACACATACCGGTACAGTACGGTAAATGACTTTGGCAGAAATAATCAAATCACTGTTAATAGGAAATTGTGTTGGGCTACTAATAAATTTACATAAATCTTTGGATGGTTACAATGCGAGTCAACGTTTTCCTTTAAGTGTTTGCGCAGGATGGGCTTGTGATGAAAATGACAGAACCAGCTCGCAGTTGTTTGCACAACTCTTCGTTTTGCACCATACCGGTACAATGTACCAACATTCAAATTATTTCATTCACAAAATGATGTATTATGACAGCCATCACAGGAGAGTTGTTTAAACCAGATGCGTGCAACAGTTTCTAAAGTCCTCTGCTGGTATAATTTTATAATTCCAACAATTATGAGCTTTGAAGCCGCCAAACGGTCCATTTGAGCACAATTTGGGAAACCATTCAGCTGTGAAATCTTCGCCAGGCCTAGATGAGAGTTAAATTGCCGCTCTATCACGCCAACTCCATGCTCCACTGACTTGCCTGTGGTCATCTGTATCTTATTGAATAGTCAGCCTTGGACAACTGATTCAAAGTAGGCCGGGCTGAAAATTTTACCAAGCTAGCTTATCATTAGCACTGTACTCTTTTTTTCTAATTTTAAGGAAAAAAATTTTGTATCATTTTTTTGTTTAACTTATCTACTGGTCTGTTGTAACCTGTTTTGGGAGGAGGTTCAGCCCTTCTAACGTCAATATTATTTATAAGTTACCGGTAATAGCATTTGGCAAACATTTGTAAAATTCGGTGAATGGTGCTTCAATAAAGTGCTCTTGAGCTGGGCTAACCACATAATTTACAAGCTATAAATGCTCATCATTTTGTGCTACCGGTAACAGCTCTAGCGAAAAAAAGTCTGTGCTATAGTAACCCTGTTAGCACAGAATCCTCAGCAACGGGATGAACGCATGTACCGGTACATGTGTACAGGATGAGTAAAAAAAAAACACTCAAATGCCGGGACCATTGTTTTAGTGAAGTTCTGCATGTAGCACTTTCAAAATCTAGGATATTATTATTAAAGCCCAATTCATAAGCTTTCTTTTAGTACAAGAATCATTCAAATCACTCATGTTCTTTTCAGGTTACGCAGTTTTAAACACAACCGCTGTTTTAAGGTTCTGTCCACGTATCACAAAAAGTTCAGTGTTCTGTCCACGGATCACAAAAAATTCAGTGTTTTTTCAGCAAAACGAAAATGAATCACATATTGTGAATTGTTTTCGTTTCGCTGAAAGGACGCACACCTTTTTTGTGATCCGTGGACAGAACTTTAAAACGGTGGTTTTGTTTAAAACTCCGTAACTTGAAAAGTACACAAATGATTTGAATGATTCTTGTACTAAAAGAAAGCTTATGAATTGGGCTTTCATATCCTAGATTTTAAAAGTGCTACATGCAGAACTTCACTAAAACAATGGTCCTGACATTTGGGTTTCGTTTTTTTGACTCACCCCTGTATGTATACGATAACAAAATTCCTCGCTAACCCATGAATACCCTAAGTTACCATCAGCATGGAATTTTCTGCTACATGAAATTGGGCCAGGTGCTCTTGAGCATGCAGCACACAAACTATGCTAACAATCTTCCGGAAAAACAAAAGTTTATGCTAAGAAAAAAAAAACAATCGGGCCAAGTTTCACAACAGCCAACAAAATTCTAAATTCTTTCCACAACGTGCAAAGATGAGGTCCTGAGTATTTCACCATTCACTCTAGTCAAATGTTAAAGCACATGTATTATGATTAGAAAGAGAAGTCCAGCGATAGGCCTATATAAATTTAAAGCCCAATACTATAGTTGTGCATGTCGACCTGTTTCAGAAGATAGACCTTCCATCAGAGGCAAGCTACATGTACAAGATGTGTCTTTTGACATACTAACTCCTGCTGTACCAAAGAAGAAGTGATGGACTGGTTTGGTTCAAGCACCAGTCTATTCTTATTGGGTTTTGTAAGTTTTCACTCTCTTTTACCCTTGATACACGGTTTATTTCCAGACTAACAATGCAGCACTACATGCAGGGCTTCATTTTTAACAAGGGTTGTGTAGCTTTTCATAACCAGTGGTATTGCATTGAATTTGAGTACCTTTTCAAGTTAACTTTATTAATTCCTGGCAAATGTCACTGGCTACTCGTGATTCTTTACGCTGCATTGTGTTGTTACATTGCATATATTGTGTGTATCGAATACATTATGAGCAGTGTGGATGAGTCTAATGCTTCACTTGCTGAAAACTGGATAAAATTTTACAAAAGTATTTATAACGAACAATGATTCGGAAAGAAAGGGAAACACTGTAAAGAAAAGTAGGAAAGAATGTAGTATCCAGACGCCACTTCTTTAGTTGTGTGCAAAGTCTGTGGAGAGTCGAGTGAATTTTGAAAATATTTCGTTAACAAAATTGGAAATGTTTCTCAGTCTAGTCCCAGATTCATGACTTGGGAAGAATTCCATACATGGACATCACTAATTTTTCCCTGCGGTGACTAGCTATCGGGCCTATCAGCCATCAGAAAGCGATACAATTTAGCAGGAAAAATATTGAAGCATACATACTGAGAAAACACTTACAATTTTTCGGACCACACACCTTGGGTTTGTGCAAAGGGTGTCAAATAATGTGCACGTACCGGTATAATTCTTTCCCATGTCTTTTCAACCTTTTTGCACTGACTTATAACCTCCAAAAGGCTCCAGTGAGATATTTGATGAAAAAAAGTGGTGTCAGGATGCAACATTCTTTCCAAAGATAATAATCGCACGGTTGTTACAAATGTGTAGTTTCCAAGTAGATCATCTGTGTGCCAGAATATGTATCAGGCACTGACATAAAGGGCGGATCCAAGTGGGTGGGTGTGGTGGTTAACACCCCCCCCCAAAAAAAAAATTATGTAGGCCTACATCTTGAAAATCAATCTCAAATTTCCTTAAGTTCCCTGACCTCATCACTCAATATTGCAAAACTTGATTTGTTGCTTCAGGCCCACATTATTGAGAGTCCCAAATTTTCGGACTACTTCAGGCCTTTCGTCTCAACCCCCAAATCCCTCTCCCCCCTAACCAATTCCCTTCATGAGCTTCAACCCCCCCCCCCTTTTTTTTTTTAAAACACCACCCCTGTCAACCCCCTTTGGAAAATCCTGGATGCTCCACTAGTCACTCTCCGAAGGCTCCTTTACAGAATGCTGGCTTAAAAAATAAAAGAATGGCCAGGATTAGGATGCAACACGAATTAGAAGACTTACTTGATTTTTCTGCGAGAGCGCTGGAAGAGAAGTCCGGCGTGTTTTGTGGCTGAGGCTGGCCGTGCTGGACTGGCTGGATGTCCGCCGTCTCCGGATGACTGGAATCTTCCCGTCTGGAGTCAGGTGGTTTACAACTTGCGATTGTTTGAAGACGTGCGTCTCCGTGTACTTGGACAAAATGCATCCTAAAATCCCGCAGAGGTAGGCCACGTAGGGCCTCAGCCAAGGTCGCAATCCGTGGAGGGTAGAGCCGCTCAAGAACCGGATGAAACTGAGGAAGGTCAGGAGCAGGGCCGAGCGAGATGTGGGCAAGGTGGAGGTCAGGCTTGCCAGGCTGGCCGTGCCAAGAACGCTACCCACCAGCCAGGCACGGTAAATATTTTCCGTGCCAAACACCACCTGTCCCGCGATCTCGCCAAAGACGCAGGCCACGAAAAACACGTAGACATTGGTACCAGTCCAGGACTTTCGGAGGTACAGGGCGAGCCAGTAGAAGGCGCAGATGATGCTGAAGACCGGCGCGAAGAGGCCGCACAGCATGTGGAGCAAAGCCAACAGGCTCTCCTGCAAAAAGTACATGACTACGGCCAGAACGGCCGCTGCTCCCGCGACCACAGTCCTCGGGTTAATCCCGTATTTCTTCCAATCGTTCAGCCCCAGCCAAGCCCAGTACGGGTTGTAGTTTTCCCGGTTCATCGGTGACACGGTGGTGCGAATGTATCCGTTATTTTCTCCCGAATCGAGCCCCAGATCGGCCCGGTTTGGAGGATAGCGAACGCTGAACGAGCGGCCGGTCGCAATCGCCATTATGACAGTATGTACTTACGGTACGTGGCCATCGTTTAGTACGAGTAGCGCGGTACGGTCGGTACACTTGCCGTGGCCGTGTGTTCGTCGTGTCGACATCGCGGCGCGTGCATACAGCTATTTGCTTTCCATAATGTTATTGGTGTTTTAAAAATTCTGGTCTCGTTCCAAATTTGACTCAGTTACCAGTTTCAGAGTCGTCTAAAAGTCTTAAAATGTCCGAAATAAATAGAAAAGTCTTAAGTTTGGTCTTATTTTGAGGGATTTGATGTTTTTGAAACAAAATATAGACCAGAAATTAGCCGAAGTTCCCCAAGTCGGGGTCCTAAATTTTCCTGAGGCCACAGGTAGGCAAAGCCGAGATTTCAAAAACCTCTTTTGTGACTGGTGAAATAGCGCCCTCCTACGGAAGATTCACGCAAGTTTTCAATTTGGGCGAGAATTTTGATGACGAGCTTCAAAAACATGTATTTGCAGTTTTGCACAACAGCCTAATTATAAAATTAGGCGTGGAAACCTTGTGAACAAAATTTCAGTGTCGTAACAATTGAGTCTACAAGTAAAGACAAAAACAAACAAAAAAGTGGTGGGCTGAAACTGGGCGCACATTTTCGGGAGGAGCGTTTCCCACAGGGCACATTTGAACAAATTCAACATGACTTGTACATGCATTCCCAGAGAATTTCGAGAGAAAAAAATGCGTTATCACCATTGACATATCCAACGTTGTGTATCTCAAAAAAATATTCTCCCAAATTTTAACGAGTTCAAAACGCACTTCAAAATAGAATGAAATGTAAAGTAGTAAAGGTCAGTCAAGATTAATGAACAGTGAATATTTGAACCCATGCCATGCCAACAAATATCACTTCCTGTGAAATTTGGGGTGAAACTTGCTAGCTCTCAGACTGGCAACACACTACAGCTTAAGATGAAAACGTGCCCCATGCATTCAGGGCCGGGCCCACGTCTAGGGTTCATCTGTTCAACATACTCCTGTTTTTTTGGAACAGTTGATAACCCCAATGGCATATTTGCAACCTCATTTGGTTTTTCAAAAAACACCCAAAAACTTCTGTGACCCTCTACTACTATTTATAAAGCTGTAAATTTCATAGAACAAAAAGCTGCTCAAAACAGGGTTAATTCAACTGCACAAATGATCATCATTTATTCAGAATTACTTGCTTCTTCACACTATACAAAAAAATGACATGAAGTTATGATTTTGCTACTACACTAAGTGACAATAAACAGTGGATGAAAAGGAACTGGCGACACGATAGTATTGACTTGAGCTCTGCTCAATCCACACTAAGCAAAAGGTTAACTCACCCCATGAGACAGGCAAAAGGCCAAACAGAGGGGGGGGGGGGGGGCACCCAGGATGCATAGATTTTCAAGGGTGGCAGTGAAGGCAAATGAGATATTTTTTTTGTTCAATTTAAGATGTTGGAAGGGGAGGGTGCATGGACATCTGTTAGAGCGACGTCTGAAACCAAGTTACTCCCGAGTCGTTCTGAACGACTCCGACCGTCGATCTTTCGCAATCTAGCGCGTCTAGTCGCTCAGATTTGTTTCAGACGTCGAACCTTTCATGTACTTAATTTAAATCTTGCCTTTAATTTGGATCGGCGCAACTCTAGCACGCCTGTCTGAACCGAGAGTTTGTCCATGCCTTTTTTCAAGTGCAGTCAAATTTATGATGAAGATGAGGTAACGTTCACATGGGAGAGGAGAGGGGATGAGAGTTAACATTAAACAAACTGACAAATGTTAGTTGGTTACAACTTCCGCCTTCATTTGTCTTTTATATGCCACTCCCCTCAATCCAGCATCCGAAAGGAAACATACCCAGCATAAGACCGACAGGAATATTACAATGTTCTAAAAGAAGTGCATGGAGCAAGGTAAAATGGAAAATGTGACACTTTCAACAAAATCTGAAAAATTCTCCCCTACTTCGTAGCTGAGAATGATACCCATTTCCTAGATCCCTCAAACCGAAGAAAGTTAACCGCTTTGCCAAATTCAATCTCCTGGGCACTCTATGGTTTTTGGATTAAAATGGCTTAAAATTCAGGTGTTTGGTGTCAGCTAAGCCCAAACGGCAGCCAGAATCTGCAGCAACAGAAACTACTGTATCAACCCCCAATTCCCCGCCCCTGTTAGGGTTCCTTCCTATGGGTTCTGGTTGCCTCTCCTACTGCTCCGTGGGTTCTGGTTGCCCCTCCTGCTTAATGGGTTCTGGTTGGCCCTCCTACTGCTCCATGGGTTCTGCTTGTGCCTCAGCTGGCATTGGGCCTTCCCTTGATGGTCTTTCGTCACCGCCAGTGTCCATAGCGGATGCGTCCTTGGCCGGTTTGTCCTCTTCAGCCGCTGCAGCGGCACGTTTGGCTCGAGCAGAAGTCTCAATACCAGATAGCTATGCAGAAAGGTCAAGGAAATGCATTTTTTTTGTTCAAATAAAACACAAGGAGAAAAAGAGTAGATTCACTTTAAAGGGAAAATACAACATTTGCAAACATCAAAAAACGAAATGATCAAATTAACACGAAATGCCTTACTGGATTGTTAGGAAATGACAGTCTAAAGCATCCTGTAAAATCGTGGCTCCTGGTGTGCTGAAATTTTCAAGAAAACCTGTATTTTTCCGACGCTGGTCAGCTGACCAGCGTTGGCGAAAACTGGCTATTTTTCAAAAACTGCTCCTACTTTTTCTTATTTAGTTATTCTGCATTTTCTTTGCAATTGATTACACACCTGTGAAGGGGTCACGTACAAGCCTGCTAGTAGATTGATTCTTTGACCTAACAATTCCCCAAAGTCTATACATTGCTCCGTTTCATCTTAAGTGGGGTCAGGGAACCAGACTTCAAGAACATGATTGGTTTTCTTGGTTTTTCCAGCATCTACAAGCCCAAAACAATATCTGCTATGACATACTTATCTCCAAACCCATTTATTTCTGAATATTGCAGTAAAAGCAAATGTTGTACATTCCCTTTAATCAAAATTTCTCTGACAATTCACTTTTTTCCCAACTTTCAATTTGAATGTTTTTATGCCATTAAACGGCTACTTTTTTACTCTTTTGAATTTGCAACCCTCTGGGAATAGAGGCTTTCATTTTAGGATTATTTTGTAAATGTGACGCACAAAAACGATCAGCCTGAATTACTGTGTGGCTGCAAATAATACAAACTTTGGAAAGTAATTATCCAATAATGGAGGGCCAGACGTTTTATGTTTGTGGACTCATTAGAAAACGAATAACTTTTGTGTTCCGAGTAAAAGTAGACATTTCAAAAACAAACTTCTTCCAGGTGAAAGGCAATAATTAAAAACACCATTGCAAAGCAGGAAAAAGGTCTATGAGGCAGTGTTGTACTCGTACTCGGTACTCGTACTCGAGTACTACTCGAGTACTTTTTGTGGAGTACTCGTACTCGTACTCGAAATGACGGTGCTCATACTCGGGCAGCAAAGTACTCGTACTCGAAAAGCAGTACTTGGGGGAAAATGCTATAGCTTGACACCATGGCCTTATTTTATCGATACTTTCAGTTTGAAATGGTTGATTGGCCTGTGGAGAAATTGAGATTTCCTGATTTTCCTCTGTGCACGTCCAGACAAACACATTTAACAGCTAGCCGTGATTGGGTCTGTATATCGGTCTGACAGGGCCTGGGCCACTTGCGCACAATGAACCATTGCTGTATGGCCGTATTCGGAATACAAGTATTCGTACTCGTACTCGGAAGTACAGTACTCGTACTCGTACGTATAAGTACTCGTACTCGGAGACCTGTTCTTGTACTCGGAGGTACCAGTACTCGTACTTGGCAACCTAAGTACTCGGCAGTATTCGGTACTCGGAAAAAAGTACTCAACTACAACACTGCTATGAGGTCTCTAACATGTGTACTGACTGTACAACTACAAGTTCTCCCTCTCAAGTTAGTCCCTGCTTTTAAATGGAGTGTGCAGTTTAACGATGTGACAAGAAAACCTTGTTAGTTTGCACAGTTTTGAAAATAACTGGGGGAATTCAATGTTTCAGACAGTATGCTCCGCCTATCGTTAAGCAGGGATGAAACTGGCATATGGCAAAAAAATCGGAAAATAGGCCGAACAAAAATATGCGTCCGAAATCTGGGCCGCGCTGCAGTTACATGCATGTACATGTATGTACAATACACTTCATGCCCAATTTCCGGACACCGACTCCTGCTTTATTTTCGATTCAAAGAGAATTTTACGATGAAAAAAAAAAATGGTCAGTGTTTTCATTGCATAAATCGCCTGAATTACGGTTAGAGTAATGGAGTCACCAACAAAGAAGTTCACTTCTTACTTGAGAAAGTCTAGGAAAAAGTCCGAAAGACAAGGGCACCGTTCAAGGTGCTTCAATCATGTCCATGATTCAACCACACAACTCCACTACTCCACTTGCATTCGTACGCGGGGAAAAATCAGGCATTATCGTCTTTCTCGTCCAACAAATGCCAGTAAAATGTTTCGCTAATGCTCTCTTCGCTATCCTTGAGATAATCATCATGATTTTTAAAGCATTGCATTTTGTACGACTAAATCTAAAACCTCAGAAAATCACACAACATAATGATTTTGTCCACTGGATCGTTCACGAGGCTGCCCCGTTCCCAACCGGCCATGTGCTAGCGGGCGCGGATGGTGCGGTACGTACATTGGTACGATACCATTGCATATGATCGTAGCTAGCTGTACGTGCATGCATCACACTGTATTACCGTGCGATCACACAGTGATTTTTCCATGTCACATGTCAATGTTTAACCTTTTTTCAAGCCGGAAAAGGCTCCCATCAGCGTTATGGCCTGTGTTTCTACCGTTGAAACACTCCAATAACGACTGGTGAAAGAGATTAAAACTATGATCCCGATGATTTTTACCTGCCATTTCCATCGACTTCTCTTCAAAATTATGATTGAAATAAAATGACATTTTGTGGACAAATCGTTACAAAATCAAATTTTGTGGGACACATTGTAAGAAAATCGGAAAATTTGTTGGGAAATTTAAAAAGTCGGATTTCCGATTAAAATCAGAAAAGTTTCATCTCTGGTTAAGAGCTGCCAAATAAAAGGATACATAGGCTGCGACGTCATCATTTTCATAGATGGCAAACTTCTGGTTCAAACCCACAATCGCTACTGAGCAGTTCTGGGGGGAAAAAATGAGGAAAAACACATACACGATTATTAAACTTTTACATCAATTTTATGTGCTTGACCCCTACCAAACTTTGAGAAGTTTTGGGATATCCCTTCAACCAGAATCCTCCCCAAACGTAGGGCCAATATTATTCAAACAGATCCGCCTTGTGAGTAGATTAATTCCAGGGCCCAAGCTGGCAGAACAGTTGTGCCTACTACAGCAGAAAATTGTGCTAACCTTAAGCACTATTTCACAGTATGAATATGCTAAGGGTCGTGCGCATGGGATTTCTATTGTTACGTCACTAAGTTTTAACCCTAACTGCCCTGAATCCTCCAAAATCCTTTTTGCAAATTGGAGGAATTTGCAGGATTAAGGTTACATGGCAAAAGTCCATTGCTGATTTCGGAGGACACACTGTGTCAAGGTCTTAAGCCGGACCTTGTGTTGTTTATGCTCAGCCGTGCATAAATTTAGTCCTTTATTATACTTGAAATCCTCCGCACTGCTCCAGGATGTCACTGCCTCTGCCTCAACCCTTTGACAGTCATAGCCGGAGGATTTTGCAGGATTCAGGCAGTGGTCACCTCTCCACGAACTATATTCAAGAAATACTGGAGGAATTTGCAGGATTGAGGCTATATGCTATTTTTCCACGAGGTCAATTGGAGGATTTTGCAGGATTGAGGCTACATCCTAGCAAAAAGGCCTAGGGAGTTAGGGTTAATAAGCAAAGTTTTCCTCTGAAGTAAGCATGCCTTTTGCTGTGCTTATGCTTATGGTCTCCATGAAATAGACGGGGGCTCTGTTAGCAGAAAAACATGTGCTTAGCAGCGCCATGAAATTGGACCAAGGTCACATGATGACGGACTCTGAACAAGGAGGCGGAAACTTGTTCAGCCTGTAAGAACTGAATTATGGCTGGCCGCAAATATTGTGAAACTTGTACAGTAGTTACGTAATGATTAAATAGGAAGCAGGCTACAACACCATCTGACTATTTGGGGTGCTGTTCATAGCGGATGATATTATATAACCGACATACAGATCCTTGTCGTTTGATTGGTGGAACTCAAATCACCTGACATTCGTTATTGCTCCCATTCACGCCGGGGCTCAAACAGTCCCATTCGCCCTTCGGGAATGGGAAATACTATTGAACAGTTAGGATCATTCTTGTTCTATAAACGGTATTTGTGTGCAAATGCATGCTGGTGTGCACGTTAGCGTTGCACGTATTGTTCCAATGAGCCAGCCCTACAGAGTTGTGTTCAAACATTTTCGTGATGGGGTGGTTTGGAAGAGAGAAATACATTTTCCACCAATTTTGTATTGAAATATAAGTTCAAATATATCAAATGACATGGATCTATATGTCAGTTATATAAAACAAATATCGAGTGGCTGTAAATTGTGAAATGGGAGGAATATTATCGCTCGGGAAAATCTGGACTTTCCAGTTCACTCGGCTTCGTCTTGTGAAATGGAAAAGTCCTGATTTTACCTTGCGATAATATTCCTCTCATTCCACGCTGAGCCACTAAATATTTGTATACTGTGACACCCCTACCACCCTCTAGCAACGCCAATGGGTGAAGGGGGTTATATACCTTGGTGCTAAGTTCTGTCTCATTGGGTAGGGTATCCCGCAATGCTCTCAGTCCGTGCTTCACTAGTTCTTCTTGTGTACCTGGAGTGGGGTTAAATTGTCCGTGGAGTAACCAAGCCAATACAGGGTGGTCCAAAAAAGTTTACACTTTTCAGACGCAGACTTCTTGGAATTGAGGAGACATGTTAAAATTTGTTTCAAGATATTCCTAAACTACAGCATCTTTGTGGTATATGGTGAAAACGGCGCTGAAAATTAAGCCCAAATTAAGAAATGGCGGCGGTTTAAACAAAGATGGTCAAGAAAGTCTATGAGATATGGTCAACACAATATCACTGCACACACAAAGAACTACAATAATTGTAATTAGGTCTACATGACTGCCACAGACGTGGACAAACGAGTTTCTTACTATTCTTCTGTAAATGGCCGCTATTTTATAACTTGAGCTTTATTTTCAACGCCGTTTTCACCATATATGACCAAGATCTTGTAGGTTAGGAATGTCTTAAAACAATTTCAACATGTGTCTTCAACCATTAGAAATCTGCTTCTGAAAAAAGGGTTAATTTTTTTGGGACCAACCTATACAATGGTAGATAATTTCACACTATCAAGTCCATGTTACTATGATATACGCAGACCAAAAAATAATCAGAATGCGACTATTCTCTTGAAGGCAATGTCTTATCACAACTGCCCACTACAACTCAGGTCCTTATGCAAAGTCATGACTTACAGTCGAGGAATTCATTCAAGTGTTTCTCAAGGTATGTCCGTGCTGACTGGGAGCGTGCACCAATCGCCATGCACTTGCACTCAAAGTAGTTGGCAGAAGGGCAGGTCTGGTAAATGTGTGGCCCCTTCTCCTGTAAGGGAAAAAAAGAAGCTTTTTGAATTGCACGGCAGTGTACGGGAAAAACATGATGTATATATTCAGGTGAACAATTCGGGCGATTCACAATGCAGTGCGCCACCAAGAGTTTGCCACAGAGAGTTTATTTTTTCCAGTGCATTGTGGGAGATGGTCGACAAATTGCAGCACGGGACATATGAAATTGTTCGTTTTTTCCTGTCAGTAGTTTCATAAGCATACGATTCGAGTATATGTTTGCCCTTTTCTTTTCTTTGTATCAATATGGTGATTTTTTTATAAGGCGGCAAAACGCTTTGCCCAAATCTATAACAAATTAGATCAAATTGTCTACTGACACTCATTCAAATGGGCCATGTTTTGTCGACCGTAAACTTGAAAAGTTGACTCTCAATGGCAAACACTTGGTGGCGCACTGCATTGTGAATCGCCCGAATTGAAAGAATGATTTTGTTTTGCTAAATCAAGCATGACAAATGCCTCAGCTTGGAAATAGCAAGACAAGGCAAGACTAGAAGAGCTAGTCCTACAGCCTATGGAATTCTATTTCAATGAATTTAGAATGACTATTCACTAGACGTCTTCTCATGCATCCGTGTACACACATTGGGATAACAGGATAATCCTATACCATAGTATACAAATATTGAGTGGCTCAGAGTGAAATGGAAGGAATATTATCGCAAGGTAAACTCTGGACTATTCCATTTCACGAGGCGAAGCCGAGTGAACTGGAAAAGTCCAGATTTTACAGATCGATAATATTCCTCCCATTTCACAATTTAAAGCCACTCAATTTTTGTTTTACATAACTGACATATAGATCCTTGTCATTTGATATATTTAAACTTTTATTTCAATACAAAATTGGTGGAAAATGTATTTCTCTCTTCAAAACCACCCCATCACGAAAATGTTTGTACCCATCTCTGTAGCGCTGGCTCTTTGGAACAATATACGCACTACGTGGAACGCTGAACGCGCACACCAGCATGCATTTGCACACAAGTACCGCGTCATGGAACAAGAATGATCCTAACTGTTGAATAGTAAATCCCATTGCCCATGGGCGAATGGGATTTTTTTACCCCGGCGTGAATGGGAGCAATAACAAATGTCAGTAATGTGAGTTCCACCAATCAAATGACAAAAATCTGTATGTCAGTTATAGAATGAGGTATACAGAGGACTATGGAGTACCGAAGTGTGATGTCATTTAGAACCAGAAAGTGTAGTGCAAACGAATGGAGTACGCGCGCGTGTTGGGTCTCGGGCTGAATCGCGTGCTTATGTCTTTTACACACATTTTGTGCACGTGACGTATTCACTTCGGTTCTCCATAGGCTGGTTCTCGCTGGGACCAGTAAAATCTACCAATGCAGTTTTTACTACCATCACACGTGCACAAGAAATGTAATAACTTACATCATAGCCAGCTACAAGAAGACCCACTCCAAACGGTCTGCGGCCGTACCGCTGCGTATTGACTTGGGATTCTGACAGTCAGTTTGTAAGGAGATATGTTAACATTTTGGTAGATACAATCAAATGACGCGAAACATTAAAAACTTGTGTAAGGCAAAGAGCAGTGATTCCCAGATGTTCAAAGAAGTTTTAAGTACTATTGTTTTAAATCCTTTTTTTTTCATGTTGGTCATACTGAAACTTGAAGCACTTCACAATAATTTCCCCTATTCATCAGGCCATGACACCAGTTTTCTGCAGCAGCTCGAGATCAGGTACTCGTTTCTACACTTGGGTGGAGACAGGCAATTGTAGTTAAAAGTTTTTCCTGAGAACACAAACATCATGCTTCCCTCAAAATGGGCGAAAATGCATTGTCCATTTGTAAGTGTTCCACGACACAGCGAAATAATAATCATCTGTAAAATACTCAGATATGATCCCTAACCCCCTAGGCCCTTTTTGCTAAGAACCATCCTCAATCCTCCAAAATCCCCCAAAATTTTGCAACAGCACCTAAATTCTTCAAAATTGTCAGACAGTCCTGCCTCAAAATGCATTCATCTTCAGTCTTCCAAAATCCTCCTCATTCCAAAATGTTGTACTCGTGTTTAAATGAAGGATAACCAACGCCTAAATCCTTCAAAATCATCAGACAGTCCTGCCTCAAGATACATTCATCCTCAATCCTCCAAAATCATCGTCTTCAAACACCATTCGTCCTCAATCCTCAAAAATCCTCCTATGCTTCAATCACCATTCATCCTCAATCCTCCAAAATCCTCCTATGCTTCAATCACCATTCATCCTCAATCCTCCAAAATCCTACTATGCTTCAATCACCATTCATCCTCAATCCTCTAAGAATCCTCCAAAACCACCAGGAGGATTTTGGAGGAGTGAGGAGGGTTAGGGTTAATAATAATAAAAGGATACTGTTTCCAATCATAGCAACTAGCCTGGAGACTGGAAGAGCAGTGTCAAAGGCGTAGCGTGAATTCAAGCACTCCGTCCTCATGAACTTACTGGGGGAAAAGGTAACATAAGTATGTTAAAATTGTATGAAATAATGTGTACTCCAACAGTCACAGAAACAGTGAGTTTAAATGTGATTTGAAGCTAGGCACAGAGAAAAAATACAATACACGATAGGTTTGCGGGTACATCTCTTTCAGTGAAAACATGGGGGTCTGAAAACAAGCAGAGGTGAGAATAGTTCTCAACGTTTTGAACAGTGTACACTTTACAGAAGAGATATTCCATGGTGTGCCAGCAAACCCATCATTTACTGAACAGTTGAGTCCCATTCAGGTTTGAAATTTGAAAACAGAACAAGACAATTGTATTTGATAACTAATTAAATTAGGCAAAAAAAAAAAAGTAGTTCTGCTTCCGATTACATGGCATTTGAAAATAGGGTAGGTAGGTAAGGAATTTTTGTTATTTTTTTTTAATTCTTTTTGTGTACGATCATATGGAGGCGTCTGCATGTAGTCAAGGGAAAGAGGTAGAAATTTATGGTTTTGGATGTTTGTTTCTCATTTTTCCAATAAAAGAATTAGGGTAGGGGCTGTCAGAATTGACCTATCAGTCTGCGAGTTAGCCACGCCCCTTAGACAACCCCATGGAGTTTTGTACACTAAATTTTGTTTGTCTCAGACTTTGCGCGTTCCGCGTCCATTTGCATATCATGTAATTGGACAATATTTCACAAGCGGCATTTACGCGATTCTACCACGATAGTTCAATAGGGTAGGTAGGGAAACCGGAAGCAGAACTGGTGTTTTTTTTTGGCGTAACTGATGGGGCTACCCTCCTAAAAAAAAAATTGATAAAAAAAAAATTCTTTGGTTTCAGAGTGGATATTGGAATAGAAAACATTTTGTGAATAAAATAGGCAGTGGTTCAAATTCTGAAGAAAAAAAAAATTCCAAGGGCACAACATTTTTCCTTCAAAGTTGAAGAACCCAGATGAGCTGCTCAGCCCTGTGTTGGCAGTGCCTCAATTTGCCACTGTCTTTGGTACAGGAACATACGTTAGAAGCAAGGAATGCAGCGTGGATCATGCCAAGTCACATTTTATGATCCTAACTCTTGAGTCATTTGTGCAATGAACCTCCACGAATCATCCACAATTTTCAACAACGAAGGAACTCAATGGCCTATTTTTTTGGCCCTTCAACTTTCAAGGAAGCATCAAGTCCCATGAACAGTAAGAGTGGCTGGGTCGTACCTTCCTTAAACCTAACTCCAAAAGTAATTGGGTTTTTTTTCTAAAAATCTTTCAGAGTACTCCAAAATCAGCCAAAGATAGAAACAAATAGAACAAGGGGCATAATGTCAAGTGAAAAGTAACAGTAGATTGATCCTTCCTTCATCCTACAAAATCCTACCAAAAGAAAGTTTCTGGAAGATTTTGAAGGATGCAGGATGGTTAGGGTTAATCACCTTAGAAGTCGGGCATCCGATGTGAGCCCTGCAATTGAAATTCCAACGTGGTCGTCTATAGGGATGATCTTCTTCTGATGGGCAGACAGCTCGGAGGACGCCCTCTATTGGCAAAATTAAAGGAAAAAGTTAGTAAAGGAGCAAAATGCCGCTTTTGCTTAATCATCCAAAAATCCTTCCAAATCTAATACACTGGAATTCAAATCAACTGGCACATCAACTGTTTTAACCCTTACCCTGCCAGATGCAACACAGTGCGTCAGGTGGGAAAAGTCTGGTGCACTTTGATGTATTTAACTACCAACACCAGTGCATAAATGGCCAGTTCTGACACAATGAGAGCTAATCCCATTGAACAATGCCACAGTTGTTTCCTGCTGCATAAGGTGACCACGGACCATGAGGCAGTTTGGACTTTTTGCCTGATGGATCTTGCTGCACTGGGCAGGCTTGTCATTTTTAAGACAAGTGTTGCATGTTGCTGCATTTGGCAGTGTTTCTAGCCAAAATACCAGGGAGGGTTAGGGTTCAGGCAAAATTAGGACTTTAAGGCAAAATAAAGGGACAGTGGCTTGGCTTGAAACCTTATCCTCCCAAATCCTCCAAAAGCCATCAGGTTCTGAAGGTTTTTGTAGGATAGCAAAGTGCAGGCAGCCACTGTTACCCAATGCTCACTGAATGAGCACAAGGAATGATCCATTGGAGGAGTGTAGAAGATTCAGGAAGGTTCGTACTACAACTGAGCGGTTTCAAAGTTCTCCATTCATCACAAGAGTGCAAAACGAAGTGGGATTCCGACGTGCCAACAGAGAAACAACTTCAAATTCTATTCAGTTGATTCACAACGGGTCAGATTTTAGCCAATTCATTTGCGTTACAAGGTAATCCTATACAATAGCACTGCCCGGCTCACAAGTGAGTCAGTCAGTCTGTGGCTGAGATAGATACGATGAGGAAAAATGGGGCTAGCACTCTTGGACCAGCAAGTGACCCCTACACTAACTCTACAGGTGCATAATATGCAGCAGACAAGGGCATGTCAATTAACTGAAAAGACACAAATGCATCACCTTTAAGGCCACAAGTACAGCATGTGTCTTGGACTTCAGCCCGACTGTAGCTGATCCCTGTTTGACAGCTTCCATGGCATACTCTATCTGGTGGATACGTCCTTGTGGACTCCATACTGTCACATCGTTGTCATACTGGTTGCGGAACTGCGAAAGCAACAATTTCAAACAAAATAAAAACATGTTGGGTTTTGTCATCATTGTTGTTATTTTACCCCATTGGCACAATAATTTCCCTATAGAATTCACTACCCTGCCCTCTTTCAATGCCTTTCCTGGTGCTTTTCAAATAACCAGCTTTGAGACAAATAATATCAAAACAAATTTTTTTTTTCATAACGGGGCCACAAATCATGTAGAAACTACACTCAATTTTGCCATGTTTACCTAGTCCCAGTCCATCTATAATTAAAGGCCCTACAAATGGAAGCCTTTAACAATGATTATTTTTTTCCCAAAAATTGCAACCCACGATTTCTCCTTCTGGTGACAGTTGCTTAATTTTACCCAGAACTTCAGAATCTGCCAATGTTTCAAGAAATAGAGCTTTGCCTTTGTTCAGTTGGAACATGGTTGCAATTGAGTTGCACACAAACGGATGACAAGAAGCCTCCAAAAGGAGCTGGAAATGACACGAAAGCTGGAGAGTTGAACACTTACGCATCCATTTGTATTTGTTAAACATGGTGAGTGTTAAAGCTATAGTCCATCATTTGCAGCTATCCGAAAAGTAACTGGCGTGATTATTGTTGAAAAACATACTTGGTTGAAAGATAGTAAGGGGACTAAACTCCCGGTGAAATTATTCTTTCTGACAAGCTGTCATTTTGAAGTAATCAACGAAAGAAGGCCTTTCCAACGGTGCTTCTTAAGATGCACCCTAGGAAATTTAAGCACGGGGCTATTAAAGCAGCACCATGAAATTGGGCCCAGGCTGATGGTCGACTGCCGTAACGTGCAAATCCATGCAAGACCTACGGAAAGAAATTAGAATGTTGCAACCTGACGCTGCTTTTTCCTTCATATAACATCTCAATGAATGTCAGTCATTGCAAAAATGATGATAAGACATGAATATGGGACTGAGAAACATTTCCAATTGTGTTAGGAAATACTCTAAAAAAATTCTTGATTCTCCACAGACTGGCGATCGTGTAGTGTAGGGCCAGGTTCCTATAATAAGGGAACAAAATCCACTTTAAACTTATTAGAGCGACCACACTAGTTGTCGACATTCTCAATAAACAGGTAGTGAGGTACATACATGTAGGCCTATGTCATTGAGTCATCATCATGGTGATAGAGCGCATGGAGGGCAGAGTTTTGATTTTTTGAGGGAAATTTGGGGTAAAATGACAATGACAGCTTTGCAAAAATTAACCCGAAAATAAAGATTGGGATCACCGCGCAATGTATCGTGAGCACGCACGTGGCGCTGACTCGCAAGGCACAAAACGTGCAGAAAAATCATGATTTCTACTCCTCTCCAGTCCAACTTCCAAGAAACTGTTCAAAAGTGCAAAACGGGTGTCACTGGAATTGAGAAAAGTCTGCTTTTGATTGTAAAGGTAATTTTTGCGCAATAAAGAACATTTTTGACTCTAAGTCTAAGTCAAAACAAAACAGGTGCCCTGCACTACGATCGCCCATAGTCGACTTTGTACACAACCGCTGTCATGGCTGTCGGCTGTAGCGTCAGGTTGCAACATTCTTTCCGTTTGCAGTAGAATAATAATACTCACCATTATTGACAAGGTGTCCTAATGTTCTTTTTTTAAAGAAACTGCCCTGTGTTCGTTTGTCTAAAAGAGTGAAACCTGAAGAAACGGAGGCCTGATGACAGGTAAATCAGCCGGCCAAATATGAAGCGAACTACAACTCAGCAGAAATCACGTTAGTTCTGATACAAAATGGCGCACAATAGGCTTGCCAACACCTTTGTTTTTATCATTGATTAAATCGAAATCTATTAAACTTTCTTTTTTATAAATCATTTGAAAAAAATTATAAAACCATAAACTAAATTTTTACCTTTAAAATACAGTAAAATGTCACTATTTTTATTTATAGATTTTGTGTACTTTACTTCTATTTGCACACAGTTTTCTGATGTTAGACGACGGCTGTTGTGTGTTGTAGCGAGAAAAAAAAATTGAGGGCGCTGTGTAAGATTCACAGGGAATTCGGAGGCAGATAAGTCTGCGCCAGACAACGGCATCTTGTATTCTAAAATCATACCCCACCTCTTCACTACTAATTACTTAAATTCAAATGATCAGAGAAATAATGGCGCCCGAGTTGTCTTAATTTATTTTCATACACGCACTTGATTCTAAATGAGCTGTGATATCTGTGGGCCCTTGGGAGTTTCCCTCAGAATTTTGTTGGTTTTTTTTCAATGTTTTTACTTATTTATTGACTTTTTACTTGGCCCAATCCCAAAAGCAAGATGAAACAATAAAATGAGTAAAAAAACCCTGATTTTTAAAGTAAAATTTTCTTCAGTACTCTTTTCAGAGAATTTATTTCACTTTCAAAAATCCTTTCACAATTTAATGGTGCCCTGCCCTATTTTTAAACAATGTGGCAAAGCATAAAACAGCCAGTAAAAGCCAGAATTTGGCCCATCCATCCTCTGTTTCTGTTAGTTACCACTACAAATTCATCAAATAAACCACACAAACAACAGAAAACTGAATGGGTTCCATTATAATAATTTAGCAATACAAAGTTCAACAAAGACAAAAGATCCACGGACCTTTTTCGCGGTCTATCCCTGTATGTTTTGTGTTCTTAAAAAAAAGTCAACTTTTATACATTTTTAAATGATCTCAACTGAGCCCCACATGACCTTTGACCTCCAATTTTGGATGAGTTGTGATGAACCCCCACCCAAAGATCACTCCATCTAAGTTACATTCAAATCCAAATTCTGTAGACAAAGAAATATTTGAAATATAGGACCTCTTATAACCCTACGTGACCTATGACCTCCTTAAACCGATGAAGAATTGTGTCTTCCCAGCCAATGGTCACTGCATCCAAGTTTCATCAAAATCCACGAAAGCGTATAAAAGTTATACATTTTTTACCCAAAACTTTAACATACGGTCAATGGACATACCGGTACGTGTCTACTGTCATACAGCATTTAGGACTGGTACAATAGGCGTCTTCCAAAACTTTGTTTAGGTGACACAAAAATGAATGGAGTTGGATTTGAACCTTTGACCTCCAGAACAATGTTTGACCGTTGCTGATGTTGCAAGCAACATACGATTTGGGGCATAATTCCTGGCAACATGACACAAACAGGTTCAATGATTCTAACCCTAACCACCTAGGCTCTGATCTTTTGGGACGGATGAATCTTCAATCCTGCAAAATCCTTCAACTGCTTCAAAGTTAACAATTGGATTAATACCTAAATCCTCCAATTTCATCCATCATTTCTTGAATTTGTTCAAAATCCTCCAAAATCACTTTTGTGACGGAGCAGCGTAGATGATGTCCAGTATTATGTATGGGTAGGTCTCACTTATGCATGGCTAAGCACAAACAATGCAAGGTACTGCTTAAAGCTATAGTCCATCATTTGCAGCTATCCGAAAAGTAGCTGGCGTAATTATTGTTGAAAAACATACTTGGTTGAAAGATAGTAAGGGAACTAAACTCCCTGTGAAATTATTCTTTCTGGGAAGCTGTCATTTTGAAGTAATCAACGAAAGAAGGCATTTCCAACGGTGATTCTTAAGAAGCACCGTAGGAAAATTTAAATTTAGTAGTTCGTTTTGTTATTCAGCGCAGCGCGCACAAGTATTGGAACGACGCACACGCGCGCACGGTTGTTATAATTCGTCGGATCAGTGCACGACGTCGCGTATGGCTGCAATTCAAAACAATTCAAAACATGATTCGGTAACTTTTGATTTGAAATTGAGATCTTAGAATGCTGTTTTTCTCGGAAAGTACAGCTGAAGCTTAGCTGAAACTTCATCAGGTTAGTTGCTCAGTATCCTTCATTAGATTTTGAACTCTTTTTTTTTGCTTCAAACGAACAAAATGCACAAATTACAAATGATGGACTGTAGCTTTAAAGGGAATGTACAACATTTGCTTGTGCTGCAATTTTTAGAAATAAATGGATTTGGAGGATTAGTATGTTATAGCAAATATTGTTACACTGACGAGTTTCACGATTTGGGCTTGTACCATACATGCCAAGAAAACCAATCATGTTCTTGTAGTCTGGTTCCCTGACCCCACTTAAGATGAAACAGAGCAATTTACAGACCTTGGAGAATTGTAAGGTCAGAGAATCAGTCTAGCAGGCTTTTACCCCTTCACAGGTGTGTAATAAATTGCAAAGAAAACGCGGAATAACTAATTATGAAAAATTAGGAGCATTTTTTGAAGAAAAAAAAAATTTTCTCCAACGCTGGTCGGCCGACAGATCAACAAAATCTATCATTTCAAATCTCTAGAATTCATGTACAGTATACATGTACAATGGATAGTGAAATGTTTATTTTTACAAGTAATTTCTTTTTACAGAATGTACATATACAAAACAAGGGGACTAGCTCACAACACTTGAAATCAGTCATTACCTCTCATATGCACCAAAACATTTCAGTGAATTGTGGAAGTGCTAGAAAGGTTAAAAGGTTGCTCAACAGATAAACAGTGAAGAGCCAGTTCACATTATGTATTGTCTAGATAGAAACAATACTCATTCTATTATTTTCAGTGCACCTGCAACCAAACGATGGCAGATTTAAGGTAGAGTACATCATGTGCAGCTATCCCAAAAGTAACTGAAGAAATTATTGTTAAAGGGAATATACAACATTTGCAAACATCGAAAAATAAAACTACCAAGTTTTTGCGAAATACCACAATAGGATGTTGGTAAATGACAGTCTAAAGCATCCTGTAAAATTATGGCACCTGGTATACTGTCATTTTCAAGAAAAGTGGTATTTTTGTATCAAATTTCCAACGCTGATCGGCCGATCAGCGTTGGAAACAACTGGCTTTTTTTCAAATACTGGCCCCAATTGACCATTGCACTTGTTTGCAATCGATTACAAACCTATGAACGGGTACGAGCCAGCTAGACTGGTTCCCTGACCTTACAATTCCCCAATGTATGTAAACTGCTCTGTTTCTTCTTATATGGAGTCAGGGAACCAGACTACAGGAAAATGATCGTTTTTCTTGGTTTTTATAGCATTTTCGAACCCAAAACCTACAACAAGTCAGTGTAACTATATTTGCTTTATATTTCCAACCCCCCAATTCCATCCATTTCTGAAAATTACAGCAAAAGCAAATGATGTATATTCCCTTTAAAGCATACATGTACTTGGTTTAAAGGTAGTAAAGGCACTAAACTCTCTGTAAACCTTTTTTTCTGGCATGCTGTCATTTTGAACAAATTAACAAAAGGTAATTTCCAAAGATGCGTCCAAAGATGCACTTTTTGAAGTTTGGCCGTAAGTACCGGTAGTTTGTTTTTAATTTGGCGAAGCCGAGAATGGGTGCGTGCGAGCGTTAACACGATGGACACCTGCGCGCAGTTGCTATAATTTAATCGGGGATTGAATAATTAAGTAATGGAAGCATGTAGGGATGCACCCATACTGGAATTTGTATCCTTGTGGAGACATTTCTTTGTTTTCGTGTACTGGAATTTGTATCCTTGTGGAGACATTTCTTTGTTCTTGTGTACTAAAGTTTTCGAGTTTGAAATTTGAAAATGCTGCTATTTTTACCAGAATTAATTTCCTGGGCTGAAATTCGGACTTAAAGGGAATGTACAACATTGGCTTTTGCTGCAATGTTCAGAAATAAATGGATTGAAGGATTAGTATGTTATATAAAATGTTGTTAAACTGACCTGTTTCATGTTTTGGGCTTGTAGATGCTGGAAAAACCAAGAAAATCTATCTTGTTCTTGTAGTCTGGTTCCCTGACCCCACTTATGATGAAACGAAGCAATTAATACACTTTGGGGAATTGTAAGGTCAGAGAATCAGTCTAGCAGGCTTGTACCCCTTCACAGGTGTGTGATCACTTGCAAAGAAAAGTCAGAATAACCTAATAGGAAAAATTAAGAACATTTTTTGAAAAAAAAGCCAGTTTTCTCCAACGCTGGTCCGCCGACCAGCGTTGGAAATATACAGTTTTTCTTTAAAATGTCAGCCCACCAGGATCCACGATTTTAAAGGATTCTTTAGACTGTCAGTCCCTAACAATTTAGTAAGGTATTTCGTGATAATTTGATCCTTTCGTTTTTTGATGTTTGCAAATGTTGTATTTTCCCTTTAATATCCCTTACATAAAATACTTCAATTTGCAACTGATCAACCCACCTTGGAAATTCCTAGTTTTTGAGTAAAATCCATATATCTATTTCATGATAACCTTGTGGAGATGTTTCCACCTATAGAAATTGCCCTGTGGAGACGTATACAATCTTTTGTTCTCTATTATACCCATGTCTCCAGAGAGTACCATGTATCAAATCATAATTACTGTGTGTACAAGCATTCACACCAAAATACAAGCAATAAGCATTCACACAAAAATCCCATAATAAACAGCGCCATCTATTGTCAAATAGTATACGGCTTCCTGTCCCCCCCCCCCCCCCTTCTCCTCTCTTCATCCCATACTGCTTTGCAAACCTGAAATGTTTTGGCAAAGTCAGGATTTTCGGTATGTTATTCTTGCCCTGCTACCCAAGGCATCAACACAGATATTTCATTCACCACTGGTTTCAACCATTGTGAAAATGTCTGTTTGACCGCTTGAATGGCCTCTACTTTGACTTTGGCACCAAAAAAATCTTCTTGGAGCCACCAAAGCGAGAAACAACAGAAGTGGGACCCTGCTGTGAAGGAGCTGCAGAGGTA